AGGTGGCAGAGCTTGCCCGCAGGCGGCTGGGTGCTTCCTTCTCCCAGCAAGAAAGGAAGGGGGCTCACTTCGCGAGGTAGTTCGTCATGTCCGCCGACCCCCCATTTGGGGATGTCCCCTCCTCCCACGTCCTCCTCTTCAGACCCAGGCCACGACACTTCTACGGAATCCTCGCCGCTGGCCAGGCCGGATATGAATAGATCTCTTCGCCCTATCAGAACCAACGTTTTTTCGACTCGCCCCCCACTTTCTGGCGGGCCTTGGCACGGAAAGGCGGGAGACGTCTGCGCGTTAGTGAACTTGTGTGGGCGGCTGTGCGTCGACGGCACAACCAACGGTGGACGGTGACACACACGACGAAGAGCACACAGCATGCAGCTGGTGCTGAAATCGCTGGCCGATGACGGCACCGTTTCGGCAGAATGCCGATGACAAGGGGCAACTCGGGCCACGGTTCCCGTTCGCAGGGCGGGGCGAAGAGGTCCCTGCCCCACCTCCCTGGCACTCGCTCAGAGCATAGCCCCCGTCGGAGCCCCCTCCGCGCACGTGATGACAAATAGTTGCTATTTGCGTGTCTGTCTCAGCGCGAGGCGTGACACGGCGAACAACACAGCGCTTGTCTCCAAGGCTTTGGCCACCGCGCGACACGCAAAGCCAGCACAATCGACACGCCACCGGGTGTTGACGAACCCTCGATGCCAAGCCTGATGGGCGCTCTGTGGCGTACAGAAGCACGCGCGCAGGAGGCAGGATAATTTGTTTCCCCCAACAAGCGCTCCACCAGCAACTAACATGCATGCGCCACCCTAACACATGCCGTGGCCAACGCCCGCAGCCGCGACGCTGTTCGCGAGCATCGCAGGCTCACAAGGGGGGAGGGGGACGAGGCAGAGGAGGAAGGGACGGAGGCAGGAGAAGGGGCCACGGTGCAGGAGACATGACTGGGAGGGGGCGACGGAGGGAGAAGGGACACTCTCTCTGTCACAGCGGCACGGGTCACACCGTGTGGGCTTCGGAGCAGGGCGAGGCGAGACAACG